CCTACATGGACCTATTTAGACCTGTTTGTCAGCAGTGGCATCTTAAAAAGCTTTTGAGTTTATCTGAAAGATCTGCTCATACAGATGAGGCCAAGATCCTACCTCCAAACAACTTAGAATGTTTGGGGAACTTGGAATTGCTTGATATTGCATATTTTTATTCCTACATGCTTAGAATATTTGCAGCATTCAATCCCATGGTTGGGCCCTTGACTGTTCTTAATATGCTATCTTTCACTCCTGGATTTCTTGGCAACCTTTGGGGAGTGCTAGAAAGTTCCATTTTCCATGGAAATAGTCACACCATTGGAGATAGTTATCATGGTACAAATAAAATTTCAGGGAAGAAAAAGGAGGGAATTGATAAAAAACTAAAACAAGCCAATAAGGACGGAGTCAATAAATGGGTCAATGTATTGCAGAAGTTCACTGGCAAATCACAGACTGAGGTTGATTTTGCAGATTCAGTTGATGATCATCTGGTTGATGATGATTCTTTTGATGTTTGGGATATAGAGCCTTTGAGGCATGGTCCTCAGGGTATCTCAAAAGATATGTCATGTCTACTTCATCTATTCTGTGCCACCTATTCACATCTGCTTTTAGTTCTTGATGACATAGAGTTTTATGAGAAACAGGTAAACTGGTACTTTAATTATTTATTTGGTTTCTATGCTTGTGTCTGTTGTTTATTGGAGTATTTTGTTCATGATTAGGTTCCATTCACACTGGAGCAACAACGAAGAATTGCATCGGTGCTTAATACAATAGTCTATAATGGCCTGGCGTGTAGTGTGGGTCATCAGAATGGTTCCTTTATGGATTCTGCAATCAGATGCTTGCATCTAATTTATGAAAGGGATTGCAGACACCAGTTCTGCCCCCCTGTTTTGTGGCTTTCACCAGCTAGAAGGAGCCGTCCTCCAATTGCTGTAGCTGCCAGAACTCATGAAGTTCTATCAGCTAATATCAGACCAGAGGATGCTACAGTTGTTCACAGTACAGGTTCTGTAATCACCAGTATGCCACATGTATTTCCATTTGAAGAAAGGTATATAATTCATAAAAGAGTTGATTGCTATACCATGTATACTTAGTTCTGGGCTTCTAGCTCACCTTTACTGGAGTTTCATATAATGGAAAGTAAATAGTTCATACTTTCAACGAACTCTTTCCAGAATAGGCGCTCATAATACCGTTGCTTTCATATGAAATGTAACATCTGACATACATTGAATGATCATCCAAACATCCTAGTACATAGATGTAGGATTGCCTAATTTTATTTGACCAAACCAAAGTCTTTTCTTTGACATAGTTTGTATCTTTGGCAGGGTTCAAATGTTTAGAGAGTTTATCAATATGGATAAAGTCTCTCGGAAAATGGCTGGTGAAGTGGCTGGACCTGGTTCACGATCAGTTGAGATAGTAATTCGTCGAGGTCATATTGTTGAAGATGGCTTTCGACAATTAAATTCACTTGGCTCAAGGTTGAAGTCATCGATTCATGTTTCATTTGTTAGTGAATGTGGCCTTCCAGAGGCTGGTCTGGATTATGGTGGATTATCTAAAGAATTTTTAACTGATATATCTAAAGAAGCTTTTGCTCCTGAGTAAGTTCATACTGATGTTTATGCTGAAAAAGCAGCTTTTTTCATTTATTAATTTGTTTACGTTAATTTATTTCTTTCTGTCTAAAGGTATGGGTTATTTTCCCAAACGTCAACGTCAGACAGACTTCTAATACCTAATGCAGCTGCAAGATATCTAGAGAATGGTATCCAGATGATTGAATTTCTTGGAAGAGTTGTTGGTAAAGCACTCTATGAAGGAATATTACTAGATTACTCTTTTTCACATGTTTTTGTGCAAAAGCTGTTAGGCCGATATAGCTTTCTTGATGAACTATCAACACTTGATCCAGAGCTCTACAGGAATCTTATGTATGTCAAGGTTAGCCCTCTTGAAAATCATGCATGTTATCTGTTTTTTAATACCTCTTTGAAGACAACTCCCCTAATATAGCTAATTTTTATACACACACACACACACACACAGATAGCTTCATAGGTGGCGTAGTTTGTGAGCCATTTAGTGTTTCTGTTGCATTTCGAAGGATTAATAGAAATGCATTTTCTGGGTGATAAGACTGCTTGCATACTTTGAGCTCATTGTCGGGCAAGAATTAGCCAGATGCTGCTAACAGGGAGGTGTTAAGGTGGGTGACATTTTTATGGTAACCTGCTAGTGGCTTCTATAAGTGATAGGATGAAGGAAGCATTTGATGATGCCTGCATTTGTTAAGCTATTTTGAGCAAGTCCTGGGTTGAACAAAAAGGACAGAAACCAAGGCATCAATCTCCTGTACTTGCTTCTTGGATAGCTAGATGGCATTTCTTTAATTTTTTTTCAGACAAAATTTGTTATTTTCTTAATGTACTCATAATGAGATGGATTGTCCATAAACTATAGGGAGGAGGAAGATGAGAGAGGAGTATTATAAGCCTCACTAAGCATTTAATCACCAGAGAACATAAAGAATAAGAATGATGCTAATTAAAAGAAAAGAGACATTGAAAGAAAGGGGGAAAGGCAGGAGGGTGAGAATATGGTATGAAATTATTCAAAAATAAAATTAAAAGAAAATGTGATGTTTATATGTTCTCTATACAGTATGGTAAGATACCCAGGCTAAAATTGTTGAAGTTTTCAAATAGAAGCTTTCAGCAATCTTTCTATTCATAATCATTAAAAACAATTGAAAAGGAAATACTTAAACATTCAGCAAGGGAGAAGTACTGCCAAAACCAATCACAATGTGCCATCTTCTGGATCCTGCATTCCTTCTTTCCCATATCATACACTCTTCTAGGATACTGGAAGTTTCACCTTCTTGCTTCAGGATCTAAATTCTTTGAGATTAAGAATTTTTATTTGCATGTCATCTGCTTTAATTGTAATACGTTCTTTCATTACCTTATTTTTTTTCCTATACATAAAGGTCTTAATGTTTGAGATCTATATGTGTAAGGGAGAATCCTCCAACATTTTATTTTTGTTGGATGCTTTAACTGCAGCACTATGATGGTGATATTAAGGAGCTCTGTCTAGATTTCACAATTACTGAAGAATCTTTTGGTAAACGGCATGTTATCGAGCTTAAACCTGGTGGCAAGGATGTTTGTGTGACTAATGAGAACAAGATGCAGTATGTTCATGCAATGGCAGATTACAAACTCAACCGACAGGTCTCTCTTTAGTTATTTCATAAAATTTATAGAAAGATATGTTTGTATTGTAATATTAACTTGTTTTCAATGTTGAACTGCAGATACTGCCCTTTTCAAATGCATTTTATAGGGGGTTAGCTGATCTTATATCTCCATCTTGGTTGAAGTTGTTTAATGCTAGTGAATTTAATCAGGTATGTTCACTCCAGATGTGTTTTCGTGGAGTTATAGTTGTGCACTAGTTTTACTGTCATATAATTACAATTAATTGTATATGGATTTGCCTCACCTGTCACTTAACCCTAGGTTTGACTAATAGCACAAAACACTGACCACATCACTGTATGCAGTTGCTTTCTGGTGGAGACCATGATATTGATGTTGATGATTTAAGAAACAACACACGGTATACTGGTGGTTATTCTGAGGGAAGTCGAACAATTAAACTTTTCTGGGAGGTATTAGCATGTTGGAAGTTTAGCTGATTTTTCTCACGTTTGGGCTTTGTCCCCCATTTTTTTCTTTTTAATATGGAAACTGCTGCATGAATTCAGTTTCTGTTCTGATCTTGCATTAGGTAATGAAAGATTTTGAGCCAAAAGAACGCTGTATGCTGCTAAAATTTGTGACCAGTTGTTCTCGTGCTCCTTTACTCGGGTTCAAATTCTTGCAGCCATCTTTCACAATTCATAAGGTATAATGCTATCTTTCATTAAAAATTTTCTGGGTTGGTGCTTAAGCAATTTAGTGAACTTGATTTCCCAATTCCTTCCTCAGGAGAAGATGTTTTGTTCTTTGCCTATTTAATGCCGTAGTTATTAACATTGAGTTGTGTCCCAATCTAAAGAAAATAATGAAGAAAGAAGAAAGAAAAACTAATGCCAAAATTTAAAGAAAAAAATATTATAGTAAAGAGCAGGAATAAATGAGAATTGTATGTGGAGAAAGGGCAACATGACCATCTTAATATCTTGTCAACAACTGAATCTAAGTCAGGACTTGATCTTGTATAGGTTGCAAGTGATGCTCCTCTTTGGGCAACCATTGGAGGACCAGATGTGGAGCGGCTTCCCTCAGCTTCTACATGCTATAACACTCTCAAGGTAATATACTGGGGGTTAGGTTTGCTCCACTCTAATAACTACTATGTTGGAAGACTCCATAACAACAGCAAGCTTATAAAGCAACTGATTTAACATCTCATAGCTTCTTCCTTTTTTCTTTTATTGAAGAGGGGAAGTGGGGGATTGAGCATCTGAACTAATCACATCTGTGTTTCCTTGCTCTATTGAATGGTTACAGCTTCCAACCTATAAGCGGTCAAGTACGCTGAAAGCAAAGCTACGCTATGCAATCAGTTCTAATGCAGGATTTGAACTTTCTTAGGGACCTCAAACCATTTAACTGTTGCTGTTGAAATTTTTGGTACCTCTTTGAGTTTTACTTCCTGTAAAGTTAAATTTATTTCTATCAACTATAAAGGATTTAATATATATATATATATATATATGTATAATAGTTTTTACAGCAATAGTCCTAGTGAACCTCAAGCATCTTTTTCTTGTCATCTTGTCGATTGATGGTTAACACAAAGATAGTGAGGGACTATCAGGATACAAAGAGAATTGTTATAGTAATGGAGGGAAAAAAATGCTAGAATTAATTAATAAGAAATGAAGCCTGCCTGTGTAGGAAATTAGTAGATAACTTGAGGAATACGCAATTGACAACAATCCCAAAGTTTTATGCTATTCAGGGCAGAGGAAAAGAGTTAAAATAATTCCTTAATGCTTATTATATAAGGGCTTGCATTTGTTGGCCATACTCAGAACAAGTTAACTGATTGTTCACAAAACTAACGGTAATCATAGCTTATTGAGGCAAGGATAAAAGCATAAACTTTCCTGACAGAAAAGCAGCAATGCACCCGTGCTGCAAGCATAAATAAGGTTTTACTTGTGAAGCTACAAAAATTCTCCTGTTAAAACAGGTGACAGATGAAGTATGTATTCTAGTAATATCTAATGTGCTACATATGAGAAGATTACAAGAGCAGGTGGTAGTTTCTTCTTTCCTTTGTTTCCCCATTGTATGACCACGAAGGGAATAGCTTCTTCAAGAGATGAGGGACACACCCTGTGCTAGCAAATTGCCTGCCAAGACTTGGCCAAAGCTTCGGAGGGATGGAATCCATCCCAAAACACATATGATGTAGCATTGGTGCATGTCCCCAGAGACCTGTCATTGCAAAGCAGGGAGGTTTCTAGTGTACCCGTTCCACAGCAAGCCCTTCTTGACTCAAAGAACCCTGCAAAAAGAACACCCATTTCACAGGGAAAAACTATGTTAGTGAGTCTCCTCATTCGTCTGGCAAATCCAGCATAATTGACCCTTTAAAACAATGGAAGCATCCGTCTTTAATATGAAATTTATATAAGAGAATGCTACCTCACAGTACAAGGTTTTCCTCTGGTTAAAGAATGACACTTGATAAAAATGCCTTTAAAATATTCAAGTTTTGCAGCACAGCTTGTATTCGAAGAAATTTTAATAGGTGCTCTACCATTATCAGCGGGCTTCATGACCATGTCCAAAAGAGGCTGGTATATGTCAAAGACCACGAGTTTGAGGCCAGGCATCTTGTCCAGAAGACTTTGGGATGTGCTGTTCAGTTTATTGTTGAAGGCAACGGCATTTTGGTTTAACCTCGTAACACACTGGTTACTTCCTCCACCAAATAGGGTGATGGCTGCAGGCAAACAGCCTGTTGGTGGTAGGGTTGTCACTCCTATCCTCCTCGCTCCAAGTCCGTACAGATTCTGTCACGAACATGAAACAGTTGTGTGCTTTAAAACAAACCAGTGACTCCTCCTCTGTTCTTTGTTTTTCAGTAAAAACTAGTTTGAGCGTTCATTCCTTTTTCCTGTTAACAGTGTAATTTGTTGTAACATTGTGTTTGAAAGTTGGATTCAGGTGAGGGATACAAACATGATTCAAAACAGGCATGCATTCCCCATGTTACTGGTCCAGGCATTGCAAAAGGTATAGCATGTTAAAGTTGCATGTGTGGCAAAAAATTTTTCAGAGATTAAACATATAATGAATGCTAACAGAAACCTGAATGAAGGTAGAGTAGGATCTTATGAGAATGTCGGAGAATTGATCTGGTGTATATACTCTATTCAGCATAGGATTGATGTAGTAGTTCTGAATGTAATCACTGCTTCCTGCACTCAAAAGATGTATGGCGCCAGCGACTATATCATTTGCTTTAGCTTTTCCCACCATGTTCGCCACTGTCGTCTGGTACTCCTTGTAGTAATTCAACTGCTGGGTCAATGGAATGGCTCGCTACAAAAATCAACAAAACAATTCGTCTGTTAGATAATGATCAGGCCTCAGAGTCAGGAGTTCAGACTTCAGAAAGAGAGAGAGAGAGAGAGAGAGCCGTTTGGATCTTAGTTGTTTACATATAGGTTTGCAGTTCTATCATATAAACCAGAAGCAGCTGAAGCAAAGTTGGCTCCAGTCAGGAGATCATTTCCTTTGGCATCTCGACTGAGGTAAGCTGGAGGGTATGAAGTAAATCCGAGGTACTCAGCTGTGCATGCACGGAAGAAAATACCATGAGAGAAGAGAGAGATAGAGCTTCATGAAAGAAAAGTGGGTTCTCAAGAAAACATTACGGGTGAAGTCTGTAGCCAGCTTTCCGTTACAGAATCTTCCAGTTGGCCTGTGAGTAACAAAATCTCTTCCATACGGTGGGAAGTTTGCCTTGATAAGTGTATTGAGATTGTTGTTGTTCCCAACATCAACAACAGAGTCCCCAAATATAATGACTGCAGGAACGAGAGGGTCTCCATTAGCCACTGAGAAAACCAGAACAAGAACTAAGGATGCCAAGAACGAACTTGAAACTCTCATATTCTTCTTCTTCTTTTTTCCCCAATGCCTCAACACTCAACAGTAAAGCTCAAAGTGTGTATATGATAGAGAAAGAGAGAGGTGAAAAAAAGTAGTGAATGGGGAGAAAGAGGGGAAGGTGAAGGAGAATTTAAGGAGGGGAGAAGCCATGGTGAGTGATGGTCAAAGTGAGACAAATGTCTTTAAGAGTATGGTTCCATTAAAGGTGCTTATTCTAGGAGAAGAGGCATGTTTAGCACTCCATAAAGCCCATGATTCTTGTCATCTATTTCTCTCTATTTTCCATTAGGCTTACCAAAAAAGTGTAATCAACTTGTCCATATTGTTTCCGAATTCTTGTTAAGGAGGAGACAACACAATCAGTTAGAAAGCTTTAGGTACTTTTATAAAGAACTTCAGAAAGGGTTTGTTCCTCTTTGGATATGCATCCGAATTTCTGCATAACGTTAAGGAGTTAGCGTGTCTTGAAGAAATTATACAAGAAGCATGGCACATGCATCAGGAGGGAAAGAATTAAGAGATGATCCTCCCTTTTATCTCCTTTAACCCCATTCATTAGTGTGTAAACTTGACCCGAAGATGACAATCCCCCTAAACATTTCAAGCATTATTCATTAACATTGCATCCTAAACCAAGCACCTGATTCCTTGCTTTTAAGAAGAGCTTTAAGAAGTGAGGGTCACTGTTCCTCCAAATAATGAGGCCATTCGGTGTATTGGTTTCTTTTCTTATTACCATATAAATATAATAAAGTGCCACAAAGGCTTTCCATGATGTTATAAGCAATACCCATAAAGGAAAAAAAAGAAAAGGAGAAGAAGAATGTATAATGATTGCAGATGCCTTTTCCTCTCTTTGTTTTTGGTGACAAGTAATTAGATGCACCTCTTCGGCATAGATGCTAAATGCCCATCTCAAATTGAGAAAGTGCTTAGAGATGTGTTAAATTATCCTCATCCGAAAATAAAGAGAGAATCTCTGTGTAAATAACACAAAATTTTCAAGGGTTTAACGTTGGGGTTAACTTTAACATGGCTTGGGAACCATGAGGATCTATAAATCCCAATATTGATATACCATTCCAATTTAGATTCCTTGAAAGTAAGCCAACTTACTCCATAATCCAACATTTGTATTGGAAAAAATCTTCTTCCTTTTTTCTTTTTGATTCCTTAAAACTAAGAGATCATCACAGAAAATTCTACCTAAACAGGCTAAGAGACATAAATGGGTACTAGCAGTAGTACTACTAGTGTTCCAAGGGGACAAATTTTACTGCTAATAATTTATTTTTGAGTTGCTTCCAGCGGCCCAAGGAGGACAAGAATCAAGGAGATGAAATGCTAAACAGTATGGACTGCACTATCGAAAACTCTAATTAAAGAAAGGAAAGATTCAAAAAGATTAAAAGTCTTTTATTAAAAATGTGGCGCGTGTAAAACTGCGCTTAAGGGAGTGGTAAACTGTCAATCATAGTCCATAGTATTATGTTTCGACTGTAACCATGCAGCCGTGAGCTTATTAACTCAAGGACCGCACCCCATGTTTAAATGCTTCGAGTTCAAACAGCAGAGACATTCAATGCCCTTTTTGGGCCCTGGAACAAGACTTCTTCCCGAGGTTCTTGTCAAAACTCTCCAACCCCCACCTTATTTGGACCTATTGCCCATTCACTTGCTCTTTGCCAAAGGTTCGATGAAGTATCAGTTGGAGCTCTAGGGTTCTTGTTCAATTGCCTTTGTCTCAGAATCCTGGTTGGGAAACGGCATCTCCTACTAATTTCAATTCATGGAATGTCCAATTGGAATATTGGATTCCATAAACTTGCAAAGAAGCTCAAATTTTGGCATTTGCATTTTCAACTGATTTTCAGAACAAGTTTCTATATAAAAATAGTTCATATACGAACCCCACTACATTTCAAAGCATCAAGCTGAAATACGTTGCACATAAGCAAGAAAAACTGGTCATCCAACGAGCAGCAGAAACCAAATCCTAATCATTCTTATTAGAACTTCGTACATTCTAATTCCATAAATTTCAAAATTTGAATAAGAAATAGCCATGCCCCACTATTCCAGTACTGAAGGAAGATTGGAAATCCCTTTGCATCTGCTCCATCACTTTCTTTAACAAGTGCATTGTGCCCATGTCGACTTGAGCTGAAGTATCAGAACTGACTCTAATCAATGCATCAAAAGTTGAAAATCCTTGTCATCAGTTACCAATACATAGTCATATTTAAGACTACTGGCACGACGGTGAAACTCCTCCATCTCACCCTCCGCAACTTGAATTCCAACCAAAATATTCGCTCCTGTTTCACCCTGTTGGATAGAATATATCAATGCTAAATTTTTTCAAACCATAAGCCAGTTAGAAATGAAAGTTTCTTCAAGGATGTCTTAGATGCTAACCTGACCACGGTAATGGAACAAACTTATATTCCAGCGTGGACTAAAAGTGTGTAAGAACTTCATCAAAGCACCAGGCCTCTCAGGAAATGTAAACTTACAAAGAACCTCATTTTCAACATTCAATCTACCCCCCATCTGAAAGAAATAAATAAAGAATTAATAAAGAAAGCACAGGAAACATCACCAAACATGCAAGTCAACAAAAAAAAAAGGAATAATAAATATATTACCAAATAACGCAAGTGATCTTTAACCAAATCACTTGCTGTAAGATTGTAAGTTCTAAGTTGAGAAGATTCCATCCTCTGCTTCATTGCTCCAAGTTCAGAAACTGTGCGAACAGCAACACTGCAAACAAAAACAATAGATAATGAAATTCAAATGTATGATTTTGTATTTTGTTAGTCACTAAAGAAAGGCTGACAACTAACCTGTACAAAACGACAGCCTCTTTTTCAGAACTACATCTATATTTTAACTCAGTGATATTCATGGGCCCTACCTGTCCAATGGTTATTATTTAGCAACACAAATTATGAATAAAGCAGAAAATCTGTACAAAAGTTAAACTTCGAAAATTGTAGAGAAATACCAGTTCACAAAATTGTTTGAAGCTCCCAGGTTGCTCTGGCAAAATTGTAGCAAGCATTGCCTCCTGTTGTCTACCCACATTAGCCAGTTCGGTAACCACTCTTAGCTTATCAAAATTCATGTTTGCACCACTAGTTATTGCTACAATATTCTTTCCCTTAAGACCATAATATTTGCAATATGCTTCAGCTCCCGCAAGGGCTAGGGCACCTGCTGGTTCCAGAATGCTCCTCTGTTCTTCAAACATGTCCTGCAACACAAGCACTAAAATTGTAAATCCTAAGCATTCAAACTGCAGCGCGTCAACTAGATGAATCGGCCATCAGTTATCCAATGAAAAACAATTGCACTAGTCATACTGGAGAGACAAAATGAGAGACAATTAGTGACAGAAGAACATCATAAGAAGGGCTTCTAACATCCATAAGGTTGAGGAAGCAAGAAATTACAAAACAAAGCCTTAAGTGGACAGGCCACACTCTTTCCCCAAAAGGAGAAATAGCACACTGCCCCAAAATATGAGGAAACCAACCAGAACCAAGTCACCTTTATATGGAGAAACAAAGGCACATCTCCCTAAAAACCTACATCTAGAACCCTAGTTAAACCAAAGGTACACTAACATCGAACTAGAAATTTGATAACTTTTTTCAAATTAAGATTTTATGCATTTTTGCCAGTATTTCAGTTGTTTGCTTCATTCAACAACTGTACCATACAAAAACAGAAACACTAAAAATATAACTAAAATAAAGTTTGAGAAATTCAAGCTATATGATAGGTGAGTGCGCTGTCCTCTTTAAACAATTGGGGGAAAAAAACACAGAATCAATGCAAACTTTGGAACCTGAAAGTCCTACCTTTATAGAGGCACAAACAGCATCACGGCTTACAAGAACGACACCATCCACCAATTCCCTACATAAGCGGAAGGTTTCTTCGCCAACCTCCTTAACAGCTACTCCATCTGCAAAGCCTCCAACCCGGTCCAACATTACTCTTTCACCATGATGCAGTGACAATGCCATTGCATTTGCATCAAAAGGCTCCACTCCAATAATCTTTACCTGTATAGTTATAGAATACTAAGTGCTCTCGATGAATTTTGTATGCAGCAAGAAACATACTCACTTACTGTAATTTCAAACAAAAAGGAATGAAGGAAAAGATTCAAATTAGCTAAAACTACTCATTATGGAAACCATTTCATGCAAACACTTACTGAAACAATATAAGAGGTAAAACATTTCACTTATCCAAAAAAAAGAAAAAAGAAGAAGCAAAATGAGAATAACTCAGTACATAAGTGCTTGCAACAGTGTAGCATAAGGTTGCAGTCATAGACTTATTAGGCTTGCTAGAAGCTAGGCCTCTTGTAAGATCAGATCAGTATGACTGATGTTGATTGCAGAACAAAGCACAGTTGGACAGTAAAATGATAGTGAAGAAAGATATATATAATAGCAGAACATACATAAGATAACCTCAATTTCAACCAATATAAATACAGGTTCCCTGACATGGTGTAATTATGAGTTGAAACACATCAAGAATTTAAGTCCACGCATCTACTAGTTTTTCCTGCTAGTGCTTTAAACGATATTGGCAGTCCTGAAGGATTATCTAACGTTTGAACCAGACAAAGTTTTAACAGCACTAATTTATCAATGTTGCCATTAGTTATGCCAGTTAAAATTAGGCATTGCAAAAAAGTAGAAAGTTGTTAAAAGCTTGGTGGTCTATTGATTCCCCAGACACTGGAAATAATGCATCCTTCCAAGTCTTCAACTCTCCTAGTTCATCTATCACTATACGTTAAAATTGCCATCAATAAAACAACATTCAATTGAAAAGTTTCCTAAGGCAGCTTTTATGAAGATTTTAAGCATCAGAACAGAGGTACCTATAATGCTACGTCGAAAAGAGTGACCCAGAAACAGAATTCAGTAACAGCGAATTGGAAATAAATAAAAAAATCCAAACAAGTGCATCTAGCAAGTAGCAACTACCTCAAGAACCAGGTTTAACCAAAATCCACTTGACATTTCAAGTAATAAATATGATGATTCAATGCTGAAGAAATATACAAAAGACACAAAAAATCATTAAAATAGCATGCACTTATCATCTACTAAGAACTATGCAAAGCTCCAACATTATGAAATCCTAGATGTTTATAAGAAGAAACAGTATACCTCTGGGGAAACCCTCTTTACAAAAGCAGCAACGCCAGATATAAGTCCACCACCACCAACAGGTACAAAGATGGCATGCAATGGGCCTCGCATTTGGCGCACAATCTCCATTCCAACAGTACCTTGACCCATGATAACGTCTGGGTGGTCAAAAGGGGGTATAAATGTCCGACCTTCCTCTTTAGCCCTTTTTTTCGCATATGCTTGTGCCTCGTCATAAGTATCTCCAACAAGAACAACAGTTGCACCCAAACTCTTAACAGATTGCCACTGCAAAATAAGAAAACCACCATCCAAATTTAGAAACCATATTCGCAACAGAACTGATATGAGCAACATCATATAAGAAGCACCTTAATTTCTGGTGTTGTAACAGGCATAGCAATAACAGCACTGCATTCGAGTCTCTTGGCAGCCAATGCAACCCCTTGGGCATGATTTCCTGCCGATGAGCAAATAACCCCTCTTTCTAACTGTTCCTTTGGAAGCTTTGACATCATATTATACGCTCCACGAAGCTTAAAAGAGAAAACCTGAAAACATCCAAGCATCAAATCTATAAGTACTTCATCTGAAATTCTGAATACGAAAAAGAATGCACTCCCAAAAACATGTCAAGTCACTACTTCCAAGGTTTTATTCAACTACAAAGAGAAAGGGTTTCAATTTTGGCGATTGATGAACAAATTCTAACAAATGTTTAACCCAAGAAAGAAAAAGAAAAAAATTCAAGTTAAAACATGTGAATATTTACTCATAACAAGAACGTATCTCTGAGTACAGTAATTAAAAGAAAAGAGCTAAATTCAAGCTGAAAAAACACTCCATTAAGCTTAAAAAAAGTAAAGAAAAAGCAAAATCAGACCAAAAAAAATAGTCTTCACGTTTCGACAAATATAGATTAAAAACCAGAAACTACAGCCTCAAGGAGTTGCAAAATTAAAACGAAAAGAACACTGAAATCGTTGAATAATCCCCAAACAAATTCCAACTTTTAAAAAATGAAAACTTTCTTACAGGCTGTAAATCTTCTCTCTTCAGCCAAACGTCATTACCCAATCGTTTAGACAACTTAACTGCCCGCTGTAACGGTGACTCTATTGCCACATCATAAACCTTCGACGAAAATATATTCGTTAAATACCCCATCGCATTTCTTACGTCGCCGCTTCCTTCATCTTTTGGACGTTCCGGTGCCGCACCTAAGTAACCTGACGGATATTGCAACGAATTCGCCGACACCTTCTTTAGCGGCGGAGAAGAAACCTCACCAAAACTTGACGACGAAGACGAAACGACAGCGTTTTCACGACAGGTAACGTTCGGAGAAGAGATCTCAGCCGTCGGTTTTGACACCGCGGCTGTGATCCACGGCCAGATGATACATTTCTTTGAAATGTGCTGCCCCGGATAAGAAGTCTGTGGCACCCTCTCTTTGTGGCGGAGTAGCGGCGGCTGAGGTGGCGTGAAGGAGGTTACCTCCACTAATTGTAATTTTACAAAAATCATAAATAAAAATAAGATAAAATTAGAGGGAAAAAAAAAAAAGAAACGTCAAAACAAAATGTATTTTCGTAGGCTCGCGCGAAGTAATTTATAAGACAAAGAAGGACGGGTTTTTTTTGGAAAATTACGTAGTAAGGTTATTATTTTTTAC